AAGGAGTTTTTTTGATAGCTTCTTTTTTATGATCATAGTACCTTGATAGACTAAAATAAATATCTTATTCTTGAATTTCACATGCATTTAGGTATGATCAGAAATTTAACCATGAGCTAATTGCTTATTTTCAAAATCTTCGTTACCTGTTATTTTATTGGCTGATTCGCAGTTGTGTGGATTGCCTTTTGTCATATTAATAATCTCACTTTAAGGCTAAACAGAACCACTTCCCATCAAGTTGATAATAAAACACTTTATTTGTGGTGCTTAATTGCAGTATTCCTTTGCTTTGTTGGTCCTGTGTGTTTAATTATTCTTCAGCAGGAGAGAGCTTCAATAATTGATACTTGAGGCAGTGAAGCGGGTTGGTGTGTTGACTTACTCAGAAAGCTAACAAGTCCACAGAACAACTGTTGAACTTTTGTAAATTTACTGTGTGTTTCTAAGGAGACTGTTGAGCAAGTATTGTTCCTCCTCTACCCCCACTCCATGATGTCTTCGTTATTTGATTTGTTAAAGCCTTTTTGTTTAGTGTTAATTTGTTTACCTGTGGTACAGTCTTTTTTTCTTCCACTTTTTAACTTTTTTAACAGTTTTCTTCTGTTGATCATCTACAGTCATTCATCCAAATAAACTTTCCATCATTTATTTAGAGTCTTCATTCTGCTTCTTTTCCATTCATCTCGTAAACTATAATTTCTTACCATAGCTGGCACAGAGTGCTCTGCTTAGTTGCTCAGTCTTGTCCGACTCTTTGCGACTACACAGACTGTAGCCCACCAGGCTCCTCTGACCGTGGGGATTCTCCAGGCGAGAAGATTGGAGTAGATTGCCATGCCCTCCTCCAGAGGAACTTCCCAACCCAGGGATCGAACCCAGGTCTCCTGCATTGCAGGGCAGATTCTTCACTGTCTGAGCCACCAGGAAAGCCCCAGCAGAGTGAGGTGGAGCAAAATATGCCGCCCTAAAATAGGCCACTTTAGCATGTTGATTATTTTGAATTAAAGTTACTTAAGAAACAGATGATGCAAGCTCACTGACCCTGCTTTGTCTCCCTGAAAGCAGGAAATAAATCTTCCAAGTGAAAGTATCCTCCTTACATTAGTACAAGGAGGGTAGAAGTCATCTTTATCACCAGAGATAGGAAATTCAAGGCAGAGAAGGCTGATTAAGCCTCAGCCCCTTTGTTTTGTCAGGTCTCCGCAAATAATTGTTTTCTTTATCTAAAAGGCATAAAAACTGCATGCTTTGGTCACTTCTTGAAGTCTCATATCTTCATGAGTTCCTGTATGTATGAAATTAAATTTTGTTTTTCTCCCGTTTATCTGGTTTGTGTCAGTTTAATTTTTAGACCAGCCAAAGAACCTAGAAGAGAAGAAGGCAAACATTTACTCCCTTACAAGACACTCAGTTTTACCTAGGTCTGCATTGCTCTTCCTTGACTATAATGGAAAATTAGTTTTCTACCCTTAGGATATAAATATTAAGCATAATTTTCAGAGATACTTTTTGTTTTTTGTGAAGTAGTCTGTTAATTACAGGCAGTGATTTACCCCCTCCCCCAGGAGAAAGAATTGATGTCAAGGAAGGAATAGTTGTTTAGTGAACTGATTGTGTTTTTGTCACTTTTTACAAAGCTTACAAAGTAATATGACTCGGGATTTGAGCTTTATAATGTTTTAAAACCTTTATTTTCTATGATTTGAAAATGAATCTTTGGGAGCAAAAAAGCTTAGCTAGTAAATTTTGATAATCAGAATATTTTTTATGACCGCATTTTCAAATGTAAGCTCTTTTTGCTATCTTTATCTTTTATCATACCCGGAAATTATTAGGGTCAAAAGTTATCAGTTTTTTTAAGTGTCAAAATTATTTGAGATACACATTGTTTATTCTGTAAAATGAATGGTAACCCCATCTCTGCTATTTCCAAGTATAAAACTTTAGGATCAAATATTTTAATTTTTCTTATCATATAATAAGACATAAAAATAGACATTCCAGCATTTCACTGGATCCTATAGGGTTTGCTTTACTTACGCATTATTTTAGGCTACTCTTTTTTTAAATTCTTGTTACTATTGGAAGATCTAGTAGAATTATCAAACTTAAATGCTTTTATTTTGAAGACTAATGTTCACCATTTCCTTGTTTTAGTTTATATTTTGTGTAGAATCATGGGATATAACAGTTAAGATCTTGCATTAATTTACTTAATATGCCATATAAATTTATCTGTTTTTAAATATTTGACTAGTAGATCACATTTTTGGACTGAATTTTTCTTTTACAGTTAGAAATCTAAATGGTGATTTAGAGGTGAAGTTTTAAGAAATCTTTTAAATGAATAGTTTTATTATATTTGCTCTACTGATTCATCATTTATCCATGAGAGGAATTAGGCCAACAGTCAAGTTAACGAATAGGCTTCCCTGGTGGCTCAGATGGTATAGAATCTGCCTGCAGTGTGGGAGACACAGGTTCAATTCCTAGGTCGGGAAGATCCCCTGGAGAAGGAAATGGCAACCCATTCCAGTGTTTTTGCCTGGACATAGACAGAGGAGCCTGGTGCACTGCAGTTCATGGGGTCACAGAGTCAGACATGATTTAGCGACTAAACTACAAAACAGCAATTCTGTGGTAACTACAAACAACAACACTGTGTTAAGCATACTTGATTGCTCTGGAGGCTGATCTTAAAATTCATTCTCCAACCCCTCCAGGCGTGTCATGAGCCTTGCCTCTAACACTGTCTAGTGACTCAAGCCCCTCAAGTTTTTTTAAAAAAAGACACTTTCTCAGGCATAACTTTACCAGTGGTTTAGAGATTACCTCCCAGGAGAGGGCAAAAACTAGACCTCTCTTTGAATAGGGTTAGAATCTTTACTACACAGACTGTGAGCCAAACTGTAATATTAAAATTGTAGTGGTCATGTGCCAATTCCAACAATATTTGAAAAACCCCTTTAGAAGTAGCCAGCTGGTAAAGAATCCACCTGAAATGCAGGAGACTCCAGTTTGATTCCTGGATTGGGAAGATCCGCTGGAGAAGGGATAGGCTACACACAGCAGTATTCTTGGGCTTCCCTGGTGGCTTAGCTGATAAAGAATCCTCCTGCAGTGCAGGAGACCTGGGTTCAATCCCTGGGTTGGGAAGATCCTCTGGAGAAGGGAATGGCTACCCATTCCAGTATTCTGGCCTGGAGAATTCCATGGACTGTATAGTCCATGGGGTTGCACCGATTCGGACACTACTGAGCGACTTTGACTTTTACTGTAGAAGTACAAATGCATCTTAGTAGTCACTTGTAGTATACTAGTAACTTGAAGCTACTCTGTATTGTTAAGCAGAAGTTTGAGATTTCTTACAGTTTTACCTTCATTCAAAAAGGAAAGATTGTCTCTTTTACTTCTGAATACTTATTCTATGGATAGAATATAAAATACAGAGAATACTGTATTCTAAATGCAGCATAATTTTGGGGATTAATAAATTACATGTGATGCTAATATTGAGTAGTAGGGAAATAGTAGGCAATTATAGAATTTAAGAATTCATTAAATTACAATGGAGACTAACAGTGTGACAAAAGCTTATCAGTTAAAAAGATTACAGAGGAACATAGATTGATATTATAACTTTGTACAGTGTGTATTAGAATAACACAACTATGAAAATGATCTAGCTAATTAACATCTAAATATTTTCCTGATATAATTGGATAAGTATGCAAAAATGTTTAAATGAAGATGGTTATAGTGAAAAATTTGACCTCCTGTTTTTTTTCTAAACAGATATCATCAGTGTGCTGAAGGAAAGTTCTAATGCCTCCTTGTTTATTCTTCTTATGTCTTCTTCTTGCCATCCCATGGACTGTAGCCCTCCAGGCTCCTCTGTCCATGGGATTCTCCAGGCAAGAATACTGGAGTGGTTGGCCATTTCCTTTTCCAGGGGATCTTCTTGAGCCAGGGTTTGAACCCTGGTCTCTTGAGCTACCAACTGAGCTACCAGGGAAGCCTCTCTTATTCTCAAAGGTTAATCATAAATGGAACTTTATTAAATCTCTTTTGTAGTCCTTTCCATTTTGATTTTGTCAAAATCCAGTCTTTTATCAATTTATCTGACAGAGAGAATTTACTTTTTGTTGGTATCAAAAAGTTTGCATTTCTTTTTAAAACTTTAGAAAGTTTCCTTTGTTGAAAGAATATTTTTACCTTTAGGAGATTGCTATTCAATACTAATTACATTGTGTACGTATAACTAGATCCTCCCCCATGACTCAGCGGTAAAGAATCCACCTGCCAAGCAGGAGACATGGGTTCAATTCCTGGGTCAGGAGGATCAGGAAATTTCTCTTCCACTGTTGGGGGCCAGGTTTTGATCTTTGGTCAGAGAACTAAGATCTCACAAGTGGTGACGTGTGGCCAAAAACATTGACCGAGAGCTGAACAAATTACCATCTGAAATAGGTTGGTTTTAAATTTATACATGTTGTTTATTGTCCTTCCTATATATAAATGTTTTAATCTTGGTAATAGACCTCATGGTTACAATGAAAAGGCTAGTCCCATCACTTATCTTTTAGCTTTGATAGTTCAACTTTGAAATTGGTCAAGCTCTTACCTGAAAAAGAGTCTAAATTACTTAAAAGAGCAATTATTTAAGAAATAATACACAGTAAAGACCATTTAAGGAATAATGGATGAAAAGTCACTTATTTAAAGGATTTGGCCAATATAGAAATAAATTACATCTTTTTGTTCAACTTTTAATATACGTATATATGTATATACCATATATCATGAAAAAGTATATGTATGAAAAAGTCAAGGAGTGCTGCACAAATTATTCACATGCAAATGCTCAAAAATATACTACAAAAACTTAACATGATTAATATACCAATTGTATTTAAAATACACTAAATATACTTAAAAGTATACTGCAAAAATAATAATCAGGATACAACCCCTGATTGTGGTTTTTGATACTTCAGATATAACATCTCAGAGGGGAGAGATCTGCGAGAGCGGCCTTAGCAACGGCTTACGGGTGGTGAGCTACTGTTGGGCAGCTCTGCTGGCTGGTAAAGCTGGGAGGTCCTGGCCTGGGGGGCGCCGGTTGGAGACATGATTGCAATGCAGGCCTTAGGATTTGAGCCAAAGAAAGAAGAAATTTAAAAGATGATAGCTGAAACTGACAAAGAAGGAATTGGCACCGTTAGTTTTGAAGAATTTTTTGCCATAATGAGTGTAAAAATGAGTGAAAAGGATGAAAAAGAAGAAATACTGAAGGCTTTCAAATTATTTGATGATGGTACAGGAAGTGTATCACTGAACAATATCAAGAGGGTTGCTAAGGAACGAGGGGGAAATTTAACAGATGATAAACTTCAGGAAATGCTTGATGAGGCTGATCATGATGGGGATGCAGAAATAAACAAGGAAGAATTTTTGAAAATGATGCAAAAGACCAGTTTTTATTAATACTGTCTTTTGTGCCTTCTGGAAAGTTGTTAACAAGTTTGTATTTGTTGTAAGTTCCATAATAGCTGAATGTATTCATTTTCAGTGTTAAGTTTATATACATAAACTGGTCTCTTGATGTCTAATCTATGTGAGAAGTTACATGTTGCTACCAGTATGTTGTTAAATCTACAACGTCAAGAAATAAAATGTAGTGACTTCCTTAAACTCTGAATCTGAAGAACAGTATTAATTACAAATGCTGTTTTTAGAGCCCCAGGTTCTAAAACTTAGATTTAACTTACGGAAATTGGCGCCACATCATAAGCCAGGCATTAGTTTCCCTATTATTTTCCTTTTGTGCAACTCTGAAAATGAACATTTGCTTTTTAACTGATTATTCAGATATGTAAAGTCTTAAATAAAACTGTCTGGAAGCTTCAAAAAAAAAAAAAATCTCAGAGGGTTTGATCAAAAAAGGTTATGGGATTATGCTCCCAATTATGTGATGGCAGTTTGTTTTTTATCATTAACAACCATGTAGATGTGTGATAATTTTCCTTTACTGTTCTCTTCCAGCCTTTAGATGTTATGGTTCTTGAGGTGTTCTCCTTAAATGCCATGATGTCAGATTTAAGTAATAGTACTAGCTTTTAATATTTTTTAGTAGTAAATTTATGGATCATTATCAGAGACTCATATTTATTAACAGAATATTGCTCTTTGCTTTTCAGCGGGGGTCTGATGAGCTTCTTTCTTCTGGCATCATTAACGGACCTTTTACCATGAACAATTCCACTCCTTCTGCAGGTGTGTATGGTGAGTTTTCATTTTTTTTTTTTTTTTTAATTTGAGAATTTTTCTTCCCTGGGTTTTAAACATTTTTTCCACAGTGTTCTTATTTTGCTCAACTTATAACATCAAGTGCTACTATTTATAACAAAAACTAAAATTTGTGGCAATGAAGTTCATATAGATGAAGTTACTAGTTATAGCACTCTTACATTTTAAGGATTAATTTGGATCTAATTTGATAATTCCTTTTTTGACTGACATTCTTTGTTAACATAATTGTGATAAATTATCAGTAAATTGGTGATCTAGAACTATTGAGTAAAAGAGCTAGATTTAAAAGCTTGCATTGAATGATGATCACTTTAGAAGTATTAAAACTAAATTAAAAATTTATAAGCTCACGTGATTTTAAAACTAAATGTTCTTGAAATTTGAGGACTGTGAAATGAATTGGAGGAGTGAAGTACTGAAGAGATATCAGGGGGGTTACGAGGCTGTTGCTGCACAGGAAACCCTGGTAAGGGAGGAAACTTTGTCCTGTGGCAGTAGCAGTTGTGATGGAGAGAATTAGAGAACTTAGAGGTGAAATTGATGGTAATCGGTAATTAGTTGAATGTTTGAATAAGGAATTCCATTAATGACTTTCAGATTTTAGATTTGGATAGTTGTGTAGCTGAATTGTAGTCCTTTGTTTATATTAGAAAATACAGAAAGAATAGGGTTGGACAACATAGCATGTTCAGATTTCATATATTGATTTGAAGTTCCTCTGGGAACATCCAGATGGAAGTGTCAGGTAGGTAGTGGGTTCTTCTGGTTTCAGCATCATAAGAGAAATTTGGAAATCAATATCATACTCACTTAACCATGGAAGCCATGAGAGTAGAGAGTCTCAGAAAAGGTGAGATTTTTTTATCCAAATGTTTTTGGAGTTCTAGGAAGTTAGAGAATGAGTGGACTTCACCTTCTAGGTGCTGGTGTCTGGAAGAGTGAACAACCTTTACATGAGAACCCCTGTAAGAGAGGTGACAGTCAAGATGAAAGATGAAAAGAAAATTCAGTGAAGAGATCAAGAGTATATGAGAATTGGTCAGCCATGGAACATTACTCTACAAGATTTGTTGGTGGGGCAGCAGCAGGGGGTTTGTTCTTGTGGAAGTGTGAACAGTAGATAATAGGAGCAGGAGATTAAAGCTCTCAAACTTGACTTGGCTTCAGAATCATCTGAGTGTTAAAGCACAATTGCAGAGTCCATCCTCAGAATTGCTAGGCCAGTAGATCCGGGATGGGTCCTGATAATTTTGCATTTCTACAAGTTCCCAGGAATGATAATGCCGACATTTGAGGAGCCATACTTAAAAGAGAATTACTGAATGAAGGAAATAACTAGAATTTGAAGTTCTGAAATCTGATTATCCTCTTGATCTGTTAGACTTTTTAAGGAAAATTTGGCTCTTACTCCTAGAGCTATGGTACATCTAGGGTGGGGCCCACGTGTTTGCTTTTAACTTTAAAACTGAGGTCAGTTTGTTTGGTCATATTTACAGACTACTGGAACAGATGACCAGAAAGACTGACACCTTGATTGATTGATTGGTTACTTAGGAAAAGAAAGATGTATGAGCTGTGAGTTTGTATGGCAGCAGGAGTCTGCTGTGTTTTGTCTTTATGTTTTGAATTTCTTCTTGTATCCCATTTCATTCTAGGTTCAGTGTTTTTAGATTGACAGTTATTTTCTCTTAGTACTTTGCAGGTACTGTTTTATTATTCTTTTAGCCTCTGTTGTTGAGAAGCCTTTGTCAGCCTACGGTATGATTGTATAGATAGAGTTAATTCTCTGTAGTTGTTTTAACATTTTTCTCTTTAATTTTCTTCTGTGCCTCTAGCTATGTCTAGATGTGGATCGCTGGTTCTCTGAGGGTTCACTAAAATAGCTTGGGAAGCTTTGAGGAAAATACAGATACCTTGACCTACTCCACACCAATTCTAAAATTGTTGGTTGGGGAAGGAGAGGCCTCGGCACTGCTTTTAGAGCTTCTTAGCTGACACATGTAAGGTACAGCCAAGGGCTGAAGGCCATTGCTGCAGACTTACTTTCATTTATCCTGCTTAGTAGTGACCCCAACTTTCTACAGAGTTGCCTCTTTCTGGAACTCCAGTTAGACATGTTTTGGGCCACCTCATTTAGTCCTGCATTTGTTTTGACCTCTTACATTCATTGTCACCTCTTTCTCCTTAAAGTCCTGTATTCTGGATAATGTCCTTGAAATGGTTTTCTGATTCACTCATTGTTCAGCTTTGTCTAATATGCTTTTTAATCCTTCTGTTGAGTATTTTATTTCAAGGCATATATTTTTCATTATTCTGTGTCTATTTGACTCATTTTTTAAAGACCATCTAGTTGGGTTTCTGTTTTAATAATGTGTTCTTTTCTTATGGTGTCTATTGTTTTTTCCTCTAATTTTTAAATTATTTAAACAATTTTTATAGTCTCAGATTTTACAATTATGGAGTTGTTAGGGGTGCTAATATTCCTGGGTTTTGTATCAGCTAATGTTTGTTTATGGTATATTATTTTTGATTCATAATTTTTGGTTATGAGATAAACTTCAACTAAATTATTTTTTTCCTTCTGTGAGAATCTTTTGTGTTTGCTCTGCCAGATTTGCTAGGGTAGAAATGGCAACCCACTGCAGCATTCTTGCCTGGAAAATTCCATGGACGGAGGAGCCTGGCGAGCTATAGTACAAGGAGTCGTACAGAGTCAGACACAGCTGAGCATGCACATATGTATAGTATAGTTCTGCTAACATATCTTAATGTGTATGTTAATATATTGCTTTGGGGATTCATATCAGAAGAAAAGAGAAAATAAAAATCTGGATATTTACATTTCTCCTTTCAGATCTCTGAACAGACATATACTTCCTTGTTCAATACTTGTGGTAGATGGAAAATTTCTAAATTTAATTTGCCTTGTACTGAAAGGGGGCCTCCTAAGGGGCTGGCCTGTTGGTACCTAGAAATTTTACTTCTATTATTTAGGTCACCTAGACACTAAAAATACTTTTGTAATACTTGATTCAATATTTGCAATTCTCTAAAAACGTCAAAAACTAAAGATTATGTTACTCTTTGTTCTTATGTTTCTGATTGATTTTGAACAAATTTTATTGGAAAGTTTTTAAGGCTCATTTAAAGAGTTTAATCCCATTGTAAGATACTTAGGTAGTTCTTCAAAGACACAAATAATTTTAAAAATCACATTAATAATGGGTTGCTAAAAGAAAGCCATGTGTAGTACTATCTTGAAAGATCTTTTTGTATTCAGTACAGTCTTCATCACAAAATTTTTGTAGTTTCAGTTTAGTTGAGTCACTCAGTCATGTCCAACTCTTTGCGACCCCATGGACTACAGCACACCTGGCCTCCCTGTCCATCACCAACTCCCAGAATATACTCAAATTCATGTCCATCAAGTCGGTGATTCCATCCAGCCATCTCATTCTTTGTCATCGCCTTCTCCTCCCACCTTCAATCTTTNATGTTTTTCTGGAATTCTCTTGCTTTTTCTATGATCCAATGGATATTGGCAATTTGATCTCTGGTTCTTCTGCCTTTTCTTTTTTTTTTTTCTTCTGCCTTTTCTAAATCTAGTTTGAACATCTGGAAATTCTTGAAGCCTTGCTTGGAGAATTTTCAGCATTACTTTTCTAGCGTGTGAGATACTCCAGGAGTTGGTGATTGACAGGGAGGCCTGGCATGCTGCGGTCCATGGGGTCACAAAGAGTCAGATACAACTGAGCGACTGAACTGAACTGAGTGCAGTTGTTCAGTGGTTTGAGCATTCTTTGGGATTGCAATGAAAACTGACCTTTTCCAGTCCTGTGGCCACTGCTGAGTTTTCCGAATTGCTGACATATTGAGTGCAGCACTTTCACAGCATCATCTTTTAGGGTTTGAAATAACAACTAGAATTCTATCACCTCCATGAGCTTTGTTTGTAGTGATGCTTCCTAAAGCCCACTTGACTTCACATTCCAGGATGTCCAGCTCTGTAGACAAATGTTTTACACTTGTCTAAGTAAATCATATGCTTTGCCTTCTCAATGTAATCTTAGGAATGATGGCTGAGACTATTTATTGTGTACCCAAATACTTTCTGTTTTCTTAAGCAACAGAGCCCTAATTTTTATCAGGGCATGTTGTCTCCCAGATTAAATGACTACTTTTCTAGTCTTCCTTATAGCTAGGTATGCTCATGTGATTGAGTGCTGTCTTAACAAGATATAAGTGGAAGTGTTACATTTCCACATGGGTTTTCCTCTTTTTATCTTTCTGCCTATAGGAGTACTAGCTTCCATCTGTGAGAAAAATGCTCCAGAAATCTGCCTTTGAGTTTATTGCTGAATATTAAGCCACACATGCCTGACCAGTAGGGATGGTATTTCAGCTCTACCATAAAGATTGTTCTAAACCCATCCTAAAAAGACTTAAAAACAAGCTATCAAACAGTTACCTGATCTGAAAGTAACTTTTTTCCAGAAAGGAGTCTGGCACTTTAAAGGAATAAAACAAATGCTAGTTCTCACAGTGTTGAACATTCAACCCAAAATTGCCAGACATGGAATGAAGCACAAAATTGTGACCCATAGCTAGAAGAAAAATCAGTCAACGGAAACAGGTTTAAAAAATGACAGATGATGAAATTAGCAGATTTGGACTTTGGAACAGTTACTAAAGTATGTGAAAGGATTTAAAGGAAAATATCAACAAGGAGAAAATAAAAATCAAATGGAACTTCTAGAGATAAAAATGTAGCATCTAAAAAGAAACAGGCATGGCTTTAACAGCACTAATATTCTGTAAAAGAAATAATCAGCAAATTTAAAGTCAACAGTAGAAACTAAACATAGACCCCCCCCAAAAAAAAACTGAAAAAAAAAAAAAATCAGAGCCTTGTCAACCTGTAGAACAAAGTAAAGTGGTTCTAAACATATGTATATTTGAAGTCACGGGGAGAT